AATTCGAAATGATGTTTTATATAAAAAATTATATTCAAAGCAGTTTTATATGCATATAATAATATTTGTGTGTCTCTTACTCATTTCTCTTATTAAACAACATGTCAAGCTAGTCAACACACTCATTATACTTAACTGGGATGGTCGAGAATCGAAGAATTTCGGTCAAATTTGTTTTTAAATTTTTAACGATTTTTTTTTGAATTTGAATTTTTTTCGCTTAACGAAGAATTCAAATTTCAAAAAAAACGTTAAAATGTAAAAATCTCACTGAATCTCAATCAAGAAAACAAACAATCCCCAATCAGTGACAATCTACAAAGCCACCAAGAACTTCTGATGTTATAGTCATTTCAAAATACCAAGAAACAAGTGAATGAATGAAAATTGAAATTAATTTCTCAAAAAGTTTTAAAACTTTTGTAATAAAAATGAAAACAACGAGCAAGATGATGATCCTTTTAACCGTCCATAAATCAGTTGGTTAACGATGTTTCCATAGCAAAAGTGACACCACACAAAAATATATAAAAAATTATTTTCTCTTTCGTTGCGATACGAACAGAAGAACTGAATAAGTATAAAAAGGTAGAACAAGATAGAATGAATAAATAATATGTGGAAAGGTCGTTCAGATTTATTTTTATTTTTTTTTAAGTTCTTTTTGTGGATTAGATGGCATTTGTTGAAATAAGTCGAGTGGCAACAGGTAGAGCGCCAGCATAAAATAATGACATTTTCTGGGGATGAATGAGGAAACAATAATAATGAATAGCAATAAATAGAGAAACAAAAGAGAAAAATAGGATAGAAATACAATTTTATGACTATTTGTCTCCACATTGATTGTCATTGTCAGCATGGATTCGTCTCATCATATTTTCTGACTGTGGACTTTCGAGTCTAGGCACTGTTGATTGTCATTTCTTTTGCAAATAATTATGATGTTTGGATTTAGTCATTCGAAATAATGAGATCCTAGCAATTTCATGCTCTACTTAAGTTCCATTCCTTCATTTCAAATTCACTTTTTTAATTCATTATAAATGCAACACAAAATGCCATAATTAAAGTTAATATGAGAATCAAGATATATAGATGTGCTCATACAAAAATATCGCAGTTTTTAAACGTCAAAAATTTGAATTTTCTAAAAACACTAACACTATAAAAGAAAATTTTCAATTTTTGTTTTGCAAAATTTTCAACTTTCTGTTTAGTTTTGTTGATACAGGAGTATTGCAAATGCTTTGCTATAATTTAAAGTAACTGACTAAAGTCAAATGTTGTTGCATCTGTCGATATTTAAATGAAAACTTGAAAATAGAAAATTTTAAAAATTTTTGTTTGTATAAGTACACAAAAAATAGTATGGTCGAGTATGGTCAAGTAAACTCTGTATGAGCCCATCTATATATCTTGATGAGAATGTAAGACAAAACTATTAATTTAATTAAATGGCTATCCTTTATAATAGAGGTGGTGGATGTAACTATTATAGGATAAATTATACTTTCTAATGTAGGGCAACAAACATTAAATTAATGAAATACACTCAAAATTCTATCATCACAATTTTTTTGGTTTTGAACCCGAATCCTTAAAAAATGAATACAAATCGTCGTTTAATCTAGACGATCTAGTCTACTGCTTATAGAATTCTAAATTCAATTCTGCAAAAAGTAAACTTAAAACTTCAACTCAACAAACATCCAAACCAGCCAAATTTCATTAAAAACCCAAAATGACCTTTCCTAATCACAATCATAAAGGATCAAAAATTCATAGAAGTTTTTATTGCTTCCAAATAAATTCTTTTCGGACGTCACAGCTGACCTTTAAGTAATAAAAATAATCAAAATATTCATTTTGCCTGGCTACAGGTGTTTCCATTGGCGATAGCTTCAACACCAAAATAAGAAATTGGTCATTAGTAATTTCTTTTTGCTCTCAATAGCCTCAATAAATCTGCCATCTTAATCTCATTTAGATCATCTTCAAAGATCTAACGGGTCTTGGGCAGTTCCAAAAAAAATGTTTTATTTATTTATTCAGCACTTGACTTCGAAAAAATAATTTATATGCGATAATAATAATAATTTTTAAGCAATCATCATCAATTTGTGTGCCTTCTTTTAAAGGAATCAATTATTTATAAAAATGAAGCAGTCTTTTTCGCGCGCATTGACTTTTTTTTATTCTCGATTAAACGCACAGCAATAACTTTAAATTTTGTAGGAACTAAAAGAATTTAATAATAATTTTTTTTTTGTTCAACATCCCGAAAAACACTGTCTGTATTATGAATTTAAATGCAATAATTTGTACATAAAAAAATATATACAAACACACGCACATTACAAGCTCTTCTCTCGTGCCTCTCTAAATGGTAAATTAATGAATCGTCGTTGTTACAATAAAGGCAACAACAGTAATAATAATAGTTCATAACATTGCCATACATATGTATGAAATAATTAAAAATTACACCTGTTTGTCGTTTAGAGTTCATTCTCTTACCATCCGTCTATCCATCCATCCATCCCCACGAATATGTACAATAATAATAATAATAATTCTATATGAAATATTTATGAAAAAAAAAATTAAAGTTATTCATGTTCGGCATAAACACCTTGTAGTTTTCTTGTCGTCATACTATATATCCTCCTTTCTTTAAGGCTCCGCAGTTAAGAATTGACTTTATTTATTTTTTCTTTTTTTTGGGGGTAGAAAAGAATAAATTATTTCGTTTTATGATTTCAAAGAGACATTAAAGAGACAAGGAACTATGATGCGATATAAAATATTCAGGTGATGTCTTTCTTAAGACTTTGCAATTTATGGTCTCAGATGAAATAAAACTAGAAGACGGCATTTGGATTTATGTTTATTTAAATTTTGTGAGAGATAATGAGATTATTGCAAAGATTTTGTGCTGAATTTTATCTGAATTCAGATTTAAAAATTGAGCTGAATAGTGCTGAATTCAGCAAAAAACTGAACAGTGCTGAATTCAGCAAAAAAAAAGCTGAATAATGCTGAATTTAGAATTAAGTTTAGCTGAAAAGCGCTGAATTCAAAAAAATTGAGCTAAATAGTGATGAATTCAGCATAAAGTTTAGCTGAACAGTTCTGAATTTAGCAAAAAATGAACTGAACAATGCATTCATTCTATTCCAAAATAAGTCCAATTCATATGACCAACTACAAATCCAAGGGAGCATCTCCACAAATCTTCAGAAAAAATTAATTGTCAAGATATAAAAATTTTCAAAGAATTATATTTTAATAAATTTAATTTAATTTTCCCTCGTTCGCGCATAAAAAGAGAACAAACTGAAAGTCTTAATGGCCATGAATCTTAAACCTGAGATTTACTTTTCAACGGAAAATTACAAAGCTCCCCGAAAATTAAAATAAACATATACACAAAGTTATGATGTTAAGGGTCATTTAAACCAAATTTCACTGACTAGAAAAAAAAGTAAATTTCAAGTAAAACTTTAATGCGATTGTAATCACGATAAGTTTCAATTTCTTGATATTTATGTACATAACATGCGATAAATAAATAAAAAAACGTCTTTTCTCTTTCATTCTCACATATCCATAAAAGAAATTATTGAATCATCAAAAAATTAATGACCCTCGTCATAAAGTTTTGTTTTATCATAAATTTAGAAATCTCCCGCACAGCTAAACCATATAATTAGATTAATCAAATTAATATCATGATAATCTGATCCTCACAATCTGGAAAAAATCAGAGTTTTCTTCTCTTTCGTAGAAGCGCCTTTGAAATCAAGAAGCTTCATCCAATCGTCTAATTTGCATAGAATTATATTTCGTTTTGCGAACCAATCATTTCTTCAATACTCTCGACTCGTATGGATTCATACACAAATGTGTATCATCATAAATAAGAAAAAGTGATGCCATAAAATTATATACACATTTATCCATCCTCTTGCATGTATTCTCACATGTTCATAATAATATTTTACATAAATCGTATATACAAAATGATTTATTGGTGAGAAAAAATCATTTTTATTTTGCGATATTGTCTCTCTTGACTTCTTCTTCTTCTTCTCATTCTGCATCAACTTGTCCCACGTTACTTTTTCTTTAATGTTCCACAACTTAAGTAAAATAATAATAATATTATTATTATTATATGGGAGAACGAGAAAACGAGGATGAGAAAGCACAAAGAATTTAAATGGCGATGACACCTATAATTCTGAGAAATTTGATTCTCACAATTTCAAAGATTTTTTTTGCATCAATGCTGGCGAATGTGAATTTTTCAATATTTTAACGGTAGATTTAAATTTTAAAAAATAAACATTTTGAATTCAAAATCTAACGATGATTTCAATTTGAATTTTAACTGTCATTCTCAGTTTTTCTTACAAAAAACTATTTCTTGGGTCATTAAGTTGTTGTTTACAACATCCAATAAAATTCAATATTTCACCTCAATAATGTTATTCACGCGAAAGAGGCAATTGCGTAGTTCTGATTATGAGTCGATCTTCATGCGACAGATGGATCATGAAGATAACATTTAAGCTGAACAATAAAATTAAGTGAACGGAGACAGAGAAAGAGAGACATGTGAATTAAGTCTCAATTAGGAAATTTAAGAATTTTTCAGTAGCTTCTCGGATTACTTCCAATAAAATTGATATAAATTTGACTTTTATTGATATTGTCATGAGGATTGTTTCTCTTGTAAGAGGAATACTGTGAGAATGAGGGTACCTACATGTGACTCGGTATGAAGTTTCATTTCCATTAAATGTGAATCATAGCCTAAATCATTGTGAAAATATTCAAATTATTTGTCATGGAAAAAAAAACACAAAAAAATATTTCATAAATTCTAACAAAAGAACTTTGCCATTTCCAAATAAAAAGTTTTCTCAAATATCAGTTCCTTTTAAAAAATTTAAATAATTCAAAACATTATTTTTTTTTCTCGTATTTTTCAGAAGGTAGAGAGTGTGTAAATTGTGGTGCAACATCGACACCACTTTGGAGAAGGTATGAATATTCATGAATTCCCAATAAACAGAAAAGAATGTTAAGCATAGGATTAATTTTTAAAATTTTTTTTGTTAATTATATTTTACAGAGATGGAACTGGACATTATTTGTGCAATGCCTGTGGATTATACTATAAAATGAATGGACAGAACCGTCCACTTATCAAACCTAAACGAAGACTTGTGAGTATCTCGCTTATGTGATCATCTTTGTTAATTTTTATTATCAAACGCTACCAGAAATGAGAAATAAATACAGTGAACGTCAAAACAGTCATTTGACAGCGATTAAAATTCATATCATAAACAAAATTATAACGAGAATCGTTTCTTGTGGAAAAAGAAAGATTAAATTAATTAAGAAATCAGCTTATCCACACACAGTCAACGAATTTATTGGGAATACGAGAAAAGAGACGAGAAGGGAAAGAAGAAAAGGAGAAGCTTATAAAATAAAATAACCAAAAAAATGTTCTCATGCTCGCTTCCTAAAGAATGAGCAGCAACGGCAGTACAAAAATCAATTTAGACAAGCTAACATCTTCTCCTTTATATATGTTTTTCCTTTAGATGAACAATTTATTATTATCATTTTTTTCTCTTCATTTCGTAAATTTTAAGCGCCTTTTTGGGGGATTTAAGGTTGACATTTTGGCTTAAATTTCAATTTTCTTATGAAAAATTTTCATTAATCGTTTTTAAAGTGCTTCTTTTTAGAATTTTGCAATATTAAGTTCTCTAAAGACCTTAAATTGAAGTTTCAAAAGCTTGAATCGAGCAAATTTGAAAATTTTAACGAGAAAAACTTTTTATAATTTTTTAAAAGCCGTTAAAATTTGAATTTTAAGACAAGAGAATCAATTTAATTCAAACTTAAAAATGTGGTAAAAAAAATAAACCCAAAAATCATTTAAATGCGTCCCAAAACAAATTCATTTCAACTCACCATCCCAACTACCTTTTCGTCGTCGTCGATATTTGTACACAAATGAGATGCGATGAACTGAAAAGCCATTTAATAAACACAGAGCTATACAAATTTTTTTAATCTGGTTGTTTTACAAAATTTAAATTGTTATTTTATTCAAAAGCAGTAAGAAGAAGGTAAAGAATAAAAATTGTATGTTTCCCATATCTTCTTCACATATATTTTTATAAATGTAAAACGACTGAGAGAACGCCACAGCTGACTCATTTGGTGGCGTACGCAAAAATCACCAAAAACATGAGTCTTCCTTAATGCTATGGCGCTATAATAAAATTGATGATTTTAAATTGTCATCAGTTGTGGAACAGAGAAGCGAAATAAGACTTCTGTACACATGTGTGTCTACTGCGGAATGGATTATGTCTGATTGCCTGCGTCTCCTTATTGAACATCCAAAGATACAATTTGAATAAGCGGTAAAAACTAACCATAAATAAATAAGCATAAACAAGTCAAAGAACAATGTTCAATTAATTGAGGCCAAAGTTTTGTTCTTCTTCATCATGTAGTCTTCCTCTTTCACTGCACTGAAACATGAATTCCTTTATACTTTTTTTACCTTCCTTTTTTCTGTTTCCATGCAATAAATTGAATCAATTTAAAAAAAAAAAACGAGGAAAATTTTCTTATTTTTTTTTTGCTACTGTCAGTGCCTTTAGTTCTGTTTTTGTAACAATGTAAATATGGACAAATAACAAAAAGAACTCGTCTGAACATCTATTCAGGCTTGAAAAACTATGTTACATGGAGCTTCTCTTGTTACACGCAGTTTACATGTTGAAAGAACATGAGCTGTTTATGGTTTTGAGTTCGTGTTGCTCATTTTGATGTTTGATGCGAATTTTACTAGACTTAGAGATAGAATTTAGTGAGTCTTGTGAATGCTAGTGATCTATAAGTTTGAATTGACTTAGTATACCGACGGACAAACATTTATTTGAATGAATTATTGGCAGGAAACTCAAATCAAATCAAGACATCATTTTTGCATAATTTTATGACTTAATTCCACGTGTCTCTCCACCTTAAATCCTTGTTGAAGTTAGTGGATGTTGCCTATTCCTATCCTAAACTCAATTCAATTTAGCAAAGTGTGCAACTTATTAAGAACGTTTGTTCTTAAGAACGTTTGTTTTTATTGATGACTATATCATTCATGCCCTTCCAACATTAATAGAAAAATAGAACAATGTCCAAATCCATCACTTGATAGACTTCAAACTCAATCATGATTAACAATTCAAAACTTTCACTTGTAGAATGGCAAGAAATCAAAATAGAAAGATTCAGATCCAAAAACACATTTTCAGTTAATCCAATTTGACCTTTTCAAGATCATCGAAGTTGCATCCCCGAAAAATTCCCGCGATTTTTCATCTCAAATTCCAATAAACACATCTTAATTATCCAACGCTTCACATCTGACAATCTTCTTCCTGTCGCGAATGCTTTTTTTCATTTTCGTGTATTGGTATTTCAGTCTAGGACATGAAGATGCACATACATAAAGGTATCATATCATATCTCTAGACATGATTATTATTGTTATTTTGTCTGGGCAACGAAAAAAAAGAGTTTATTTTCTCACAATAGACTGGAAGTTCAAATGCGAAGCGTAATAAAGAGGTCAGGAACCTCAAATTGCATTTTACTTGTTATATCCTTATGAAAGACTTTATTATTACGTTTATGAGAAGCGTGGAAAAAAGAGTGATATAAAAAAAATACAATATACTTTTTGATACATTTTTATCGCATTTTTTATGAATTTAAAAGTTGAATGGAGTAATAATTTGTTTGTCTGGCTGGCTGTTCCTAAATTGTTCTTGTCTTGGGATAACCTAGTGACTTTGGATGGGTATCTAAGTCTTGAGAATTCAGAGAAGCTAAGAATCATTGTCACTGGCTCAAAATAATCAAACCTAACCTCAAAAATTAGATACATTCTCTTGCAAAGTATATGATTTCATACAAAAATTTCCAAAATGCTGAAAAATCTTATGGTTAAAAATGCACCTTCTAGCTGCAAACTCGCAGTTTTTATTTCAACTTATTTTTGTTGTTCGTCCGTCGTTATATGACTCGATGAACGCGCAGACCACATAACATTTTGCATATAAATTTTCTCTCCCTTATAAAAAAATATAATTTTTTAGTATATTGCAAAAAAAAATTAACGAGGTTTAGCCCCCTTTTGGTAACAACAGAAGAAATAAAAAGAGAAAGAGCTCAATTTCACATAAAGGAAAACGACTGTAGAGTGCGGAGGGCGTCGATATTCATTCGATTATTGAACATTGAAGTTGTTTTTTTTTGTAGCGATCGCCTTTTTTATCCACTCTCGTTTATTGTGTCGCGCTCGCTTAGCAATTTTCAGTATGCTTTTGCCTTTTCACATATTCGCATTCTTCTTTTTCGCACAAGCAATATTGATGCTCGTTTAATAATGCGAAAAAAAAAATATGTTGTGTTGTCTGACGAATAGTTCTAACAACGATATTTGTTGTATTAAAGAAAAATACTTCGCATGATAAAGGAATATATCAGCAAATTCATATATACATAAAATGTGAAAGAGGGACGTTTGGGCATGAAATTGGTTACTGTAGGTCGTGAACAATGCGATTTATAATTATTGCCTTGCAGCTCATAAATGTGTATACATATGCATGTTCCTATATTTGACTTGAAGGAAAAAAATCATCAAAAAATACAAGATTAATAATGTTCTTACATTAAAAAAAAATTTGAGTTGAGTAGAAGGGAATGAAAAATTATTTTCAATAAATTATTGGAATGTACTTTTTTTTGCTAGTTCCACCAAAGGGTAGATTATGGAATTCTCATATTATCAAGACAGGAAATTTCTAATTTACCTGCTTTTTCTCATCTTAAAGGTCGTCATTTTTCCACGACTAACCTCAAATTAGCAAAACCAATCAATGTTCATTGTAACTCAATAAGAGCGTTAATACAACTGGCACACTGCTCTTAAATTCCATCATTATTGCCTAATTAATTATTAATCATTACACAATGTGCCCTTTTTAAGCCTTCTATTATTTTATACTCATTCCATATCTTTTGCAAATCATCCATTGGCAATTCAGTCCTCTGACACGATTCAATTCAAATTTTTCTCTCTCTTTTATGTTATTTATTTTATTTTTATTTCATGCTTTCAATTGGAAAAAATCCAAAAACAAAACAAAATCCAATTCAATTGTTAATGCACACCGTGGAGTTTATTGTAAAGTCAATTCTTTCAATCAAATTATTGGACAATTTTTCTCAATCATTTTCAATATAGCATTTTTTATAAAAAATAAATAAATAAATACTTTGAATTGTTCAATGTGTGCAATCAACTTCGTTATCTTCGATGTTTAAAAAACAATTTTGAAGTGGAAAAGTGGGATTTAAGGATTCATTTTGTCTAATTTAAGGTTGAATAAGTTGCTGAATTGCGCTGAATAACTTGCTGAATTGAGCTGAATAGTCGCTGAATTGAGCTGATAGTCGCTGAATTGTGCTGAATTGAGCTAAACGTTTGCTCAAATTAGCTGAATTTATCTAGATGTTAGCTGAATTGAGCTTTATAAGCAATATCACGCATGACTTTCGATCAAATCTAAATGCGTCTCTAAAATTCCATGCAGCATTTAATAATTTTCCATCAATTTCATATTTTGCATTCTTTTCTTTTATTTCCCACGATTTTCATCCATCTCTCTTTTACGCTTAATTTTCCTACGTTTTCCATGACTCTCACTCACTTACCCACCTTTGTAAAATGTAGAGAATAAAACATAAGCAAGGAATATTGTCAAGCAGTAAATAACAACACAAAACTATTGTTTACTTTCAGCGACGTGTTTGTTTTGTTGCAGTTTTGCTTGTTCACTATCATTTTTTTCACATTCTTCTCTTTCCTTTCCTCCTTTTTTATGTTCTAGTGGGTTGAAAAACAGAAACAAAAAAAAAGCTGAAAATAATTGTTGGATGAGAAAATCTACAGGTGTATTTGTTGGTTATTGACATTGTAAAGAAAAAAATATTAATTGTCTCTTTATTTATTCTCCTTTTGATTTTCCTTCTGTTCTTGTTGCCGAGTTTATTTTCTTTTAATTAATGGTAATTACTAGTTTAATTGGAGTTAAGTGAACTTGTTGGGAAATTTCTTGGGAAAATTTTC